ATCCTGATGCAAGACATTACAATTTAAAAACAACAGCATTAATGGGTAAGAATGAATTGCAGACCAATCCCTAATTGCTTTAAGGCCAAAAACTGTTGTACTTTTCAAAGCTTAATTCACACTCTTGTGGGGAGAGGAGGCGAGTCTAACATTTCCATTACAGTTATGGCTTTGTAGTGCCTGATAGAGGCTCCTTCACAGTGATGGGATCCTCATGGGTCACTGTCCTCCATCAGGCTGCTGCTAGATCAAGTTGCCCAGAGAGATCTTGAGCACTGCGCTCAAACTCAGCTCTGTCACACACCACGAAGAAGCAGTTTTATGAATAAGAACAATTTTTATTGTTGCTTTGTAACATAAAGACAGAATAAAAAGGAATGTGACATAACTAAACAAGATTTTAAAATAAGGAGGCACTTTTTTGTCCTCTAAATGCCTTTTCCTATGATTTCCACAGCTCCTTCTCACACAAACACTTGCATGATCTGCTATGATAAAACAGTAAGAACAGCATATTAGTTATCACCCACACACTAATGTGGGAGTGAAATCTTAGTTCATGATGTGGAAGGGCACAGAGTCAAAAAACAAACAAAACAAAACAAAACAAAACAACAAAAAAAAGCACACCTCTAAAGCAGGACATTATTCAAACACTTTCTTTTCTTTCCGGCTCTAATGCCCCAGACTAGGATCCCTAAGGCAAAGCCTGGCTGAGCTGGATGGCCTCTACCTGTCCCAGAAAACATCCTGCACTATATGTGGCCTGAGAGAGAAGCACTCGTATGGTCCTACATGCCTCAAAAAACCAGTACTTCCACTCCTTTCTCTCCAGGGACACTGATGCTGACAATGCTCACAAGGAGAAGCGTGTTAGATTGAGGTAGGATCTCTCATCAAGGAGCTGCATGATGGAGACCCCATCATTGGGATTTTCTGGAAACAAACAAACAGACGACATGGAATATCCCTTGAGGCTGGAATGAGAGTCCTAAGCAGCTGCTGAGCATCCTGTCAGGCAGCTGGATTCATTTTAAGTAAATGCCTTGATTCTTCCTCAATCCTATGTTCAGCAATTTTGTTTTTCCATCCCAAAACCCAGCAGTGCATAACTGAAAATAAAGCTGTCTTGTGAGCTGTTCAGCTCCTCCATATCCCCAAATGCAACAGCCCATTAACTGAAGAGTGCTCTTGAATAAGAACACCTTTCCCTCATGAAGGGAGAATTTAACAGCCTAGCAGGCCCAGGTGGCCCTGCTGTAAGTCCAGGTTACAAAGTCCCATTGCACAAGGGTAAAACCTGCAACCTTCCCCCCTTGGCAGATTCTTCTTCTCTCGGTCTTCTTTGAGCTCACTGGCCTGGCTTTGCGTTTGCTGGACCTTGGAGTGCCTGCCTGCAGATCAGCTCTTTCAGCTGCTCCAGTTTATTGTCTCTTAGGGCATCTCGAATGGCACCGAAAAAGCTGAAGTAGTGCTGGAAGTTGTGCATCATGAGCAGGACGCCAGCCAAGAGCTCATTGGTCACCAGGAGGTGATGGACGTAGGCTCGAGTATGTCGCTGGCAGCAGTAACAGGTGCATCCTTCCAGCAAGGGCCCAAAATCCTCCTGGTACCTACGGAGGAAGGAGCACTGGCTATCATGAAAAACATGACATGTTCAAGCAATAAAGAGTACCCACAGTTACTACATAGCCTTTGCAGGGACCTGAGGCCCAAAGTCCCCAGGGCCTGAGTCCCAGTGTTGTAGGATGGGTTGATATCCAACCCACTGGGGACATGAAGGGCTCAAAATGAACACAGGAACAAAATGATCCTCAGACAGCCTTTGATAAGCTTCTGACCAAGTGTTTCTGCTGCTACAGGGTCCAGAAAACCCCTGGCACTGGACCAGGCAATTGATGGTGCTCTCACTCGTACACTGTTGCCCGATACCAAGCTAGAACACTTCCCATGACTTTCCATTCAATGCCAAAACAACTTTTTCCTATGCTTTTATGTTTTGTGAGTCTCCCATCCAGCTACTGACCATATGCAACTGAACACAGAGGAGAAGACCCTCATATTTAGTGAAACAACTGCAGATACCCTTCTCAAAGCCACATACCTTTTGTCCTTCAGGGAGATCTCAAATGGTGTTATTTCGGGGTCAGTCCCGGAGAGTTCATCCTTGTCTTTTTCAGCATGGTTTTCCCCTGGGTCCTGGACCCCATTTTGATTTAAAACTGCTTAAAAATAAAAAGCCACAGGGGTCGAGAGAAAACTTAGAAACCTGACACTAGATACTTCCTGCTACTCTCTTGCCACAAGTTTCCATGTCCTTCCCATACAAGCCGTTTTCATTTAATTACCGCAGATTACTTGAGACAAAAACAGTCTT